GTTGCCAACTTTTGTTGTGAATTATGCGAAACTATTTTTGTACAACAAAAAGCAAAGCAAATGAAGAGTGAGAAAGAGAAGGAGCAACAGATTGTTAACCGGTTTGAAATTAATTTGATTTTTATATATATACATATATACATGTATCTACACTATATACACACATTTTCAAGGTTGATTTCGTATGCACAAAAGGCAAACAACGAATGTTGTCAGCAGCATTATAAATAGGGTCGGAGTCTGTCTCTTTGTCTCTTTTTCTCTCTCTCTCTTTGTCTGTCTGCTGTCGACTTTTGCTTTAAGATGCGCATTAGGAAGCGCTCAGTTAATTAATTCCAGCTGCCGATTGACTTTGGCACAGCCGGCATACATTTATTATCAGCGCTAAAGATCGTTTAGCAGCTCCGCAACATTTGACACAATTTGTAGGCGTGTGCCGAAGCACTGGGTGACGCCCACCTTTAACTACTTCCCCGCACTGCGCAACTGCAACACGCGAGCGGAGAAACTTTAAAGTCACAAGTGCAACAGCTGAAAAATGTGAATTTATGAATAAGGCAATAGTTGAATACCCTCGAGAATTCATTTTGGTAATGAAATTATAGTTGATCTTGCCTGCATTATAACTCAAATTGTTTGATTTTCATTTATATTCCACTTGAATAGGTGAATTTGATCATAACTTATCAAGCTTTATACGAAACTTCAATGTTTATTTCAAGATATGTATTTACACAAGTGTTTCATTCATTTTTTGCCAGTCTGGCCAAAACGAAACGGCCATGGAGTGATTTATTCAGGTTAAGAATTCAAATTCATTAATTCATTTTTTAATGCACAGTGCAATGAAATGCCAGAAAAGTGTTTTAAGATCATTAAATATAAAAATTAAAATCTATTTTAGATAAGTTTCGTGTGAAAGTGGCCTCAACAAATTCCAGACAAATCCATTCAGTAATAAAAGCGCAACTAACTGAACTGCCTCAGATATGCAACACGACTCATTCACAAGTGTATAACAACAACAACAACAACAAGCGGCTGCCATGCGTGCATACAAAGTTAAGAAAATAAGAAGAAAAACTGAAAACCGAAAGAAAAAAGCGATACGGAAATGCAGATAAAACCTTTGCAAAATTAATGAGCTGAAAACAATGCGGACATTGTTAAGAAACAGACAGAGGAAGGATGAGGGCGAGGAGGGGTAGGCTCGCAGAGTTCAATATTTTGACACAAAATGCCAAGGAGCAGCAGCAGCAACAACAACAAACATTACAGGAAAAATCCCTCAACTCAAATACGAAAATTATCGAAAATGAGTTGAAAAAAAGTAAAAGTTTTTGGTAAATGAAGTTAATAATAATAATGATTATTAATGATGCCGATGATGATGATTTACTATAATAATCATATCGCAGACATCAATCAAATGGCAAAAAAAAAAAACGAAACGCACATTAAAAGCAATCAAAACAAAACGGAAAATGTGTGAAAACTACGAGAGAAAGAGAAAGAGAAATAGAGAGAGAGACAGAGCAAGCACTGAAAACTAGGTAACAAAGGTGGGTCAAATATTGCGCCATAAAAAATACAACAACAACAACAATGGTGGGCAATGCAGACTCTAAACGGTTCGCTTTTCATTTTACACCTTCAACGAAAAACTATTTCCCTCCTCCCTGCCCCCTGCCCCCCCCCCCCCTGGCATCACCCTGTAAACAACTCAAAAAGGAGGTCAACTATATTGGCACACAGATTTGGGGAGCACAATTTAGGTGCAAGTTATAGTTGTTGTTGTATTAGTTGCTGTAGCTGTCGACGGGTGCTGCCAACTCGTCGATAATTGCAAAATTCTTAAGTGCTTCCCATTTGGCAAACGAGCCGCTGCCAGACAGCTCCAAATACCATCAGAAACTGCTTCGTTTGAAGTAGCTCAAATTGAACTGTAAACAAAAAGTATTTTCAAATCCGAATGCAAACAGATGGAAGGGCGAAGGCAAGATATGTAAATAAGTTGAAGATTTAGGATGGAACTTGATTATACATAGTGTTTATACCAGATTATATATATTTAGCACAGTAAATGTTGCGGAATTGATTGCTGGATTTATACAGTTAATGGAATGACTGGATCATCACAATTTCTAAAGAAAAAACATTCCTAAAGCTGAGTCATGCATCGCTGCCAGCGGCAGCCAAGCAAATAGAAGGAACATATATGAATCGAAGGAGTTTACATATATATATCAAAGTTGAAGAAAGATAAAAAATAAACAGAAGTAATAAATGAAGAAAAGAATGTATGAATCAGAGTATTCATATAAAAAAAAATAAGATCAAGGTGGGATATGAACGAAAGAGGTAGACAACAGAAGAGATTGATATTTATATATATATCTATATCGATCAATATCGAGCAATATCTATATGCATACCTGCAATACTTAACATATCCCCATTTGATATCTTTTCACCACTCTCACATCCCACATTTATTATGCTTTCTTAGCAAATCAAATTCCAAAAGATCATCTCTATTCTTAGCCTACTTTATCGAGTGTTTTCTAATGATTAAATCACTCAATCATTCCTCTCTTTTTATAAGAAATTCTCTGCCGTCATCTATCCGCTTTGGAAACAGATGAAACAACTTATTTTGCGTTCATTCAAAAAGTTTCTCAGGCCATTTCACTTGCAATTAGCAGTTGGCCCAAAACATTGCCACTTCCTGTTACAAGAAACCCGTTTAAAAAGATTTCAATTGATGTTCGGCGCCTCAGTTATGAATCTATGAATGAGCTTCGAGTGTGGTTGGCTTTCACAGGTGTCTCCCACGCACAGAAACAAAAAATAGCGATTAAGGCTCGTTAATTTCTTGACTACTTTGTATAATAGGTTTTGGCCTAAGGCCCGTACCGGCTAATGAGCCATTAACACGCTTATCGGTCCCAGCCAGATTAAAGGCGGAGGCAAATGAAAATTTGAACTCCAAAAGGCGTCGCACATGAGCGAGAATTTTGGGTATTTTTGTTTTTTTTTTTTTGTTTTGGGGTCAGGCGCGAAAAATAACTAAATATGAATTTCCTCAATTAGATTTTCCAGACACGATCCAAACGTTTGGGCCATGGCATATAACGAAATGCAAATCGCATTAAGACGCGTTATTAATCTGCACTGCAAGGCATCGCCTATAGCTCTATCCCTCTCTGTCTCTCTCTCACTCTCTTATACAGTTTAGCTTTTGCAGAGTTGAAATCGCCTTAAACGCTAAGCGAATCTCTTGTCTGCTGGGTCACCAGGTCAGAAGCGAGTCCCAAGCCAAAAACAGCTTTAACAACAAAAGCAACAAAAGAAGTTGTTGCGACTTGTGTGTGGAGATCAATGGAAATCCATAGGTACCAAAAGGGCATTCTTTTGGAAAGTGACTATACTGGAACTGGAACTGTATTGGCTTCTGCCAGTTCTCATGCTTCCAAAGCCAGTAGAAGAACGCAACACTTATGCTCAAGAGCCGCCCTCTGGCGGCCATCTCGGCATTTAATATGCGAAAAAGAACATAAATAAACAAACGCCGCTGGAAGAGTAAACACTTATAACAGTATTATTATTTTCTGTTTTTGTTTATTGTGGAACTCAGCAGGATCATTTCGTAAAGTGAAGTGTTTGTATCTCTCTCTATCTCGCTCTATGTGTGAAGTGATGTGGGTGAAAGCAAAGTGAATGGAGAAATATGTATGATAGGATTACAATTAACAGCCTAATTATAACAGATGCATAGCTCAGCTGTCAAAACAGTCCATTAGAGGATAACAAACTGGCAAGAATTCAAACTCCAGTGTGAATATGCCATATGCCTTTGACTCACTGCGTTCATATCGACTGACAAATTTTAGTTATTAACCGCTATTTTTACAATGGGAGAGTTACAGATTTAGCTGTCAATACAGTCTACAGACTTGAATCGCATGCCCTTGACAATTTGCCGCATTCGTGTCGTTTGATAAATCTATACTGTTAACCGTTACTTAAACTACTTCTACTTTCTATTGAATTTAAAGTGTTGTTGCGCATTTTCATGAATATTTTATTACATCAACTTGAACATCAATCGCTGCAATTGGTTTTGTGGCCCCCGCACAGTGCTTGCTATCAGTCCATAGACAGAAACGGCAGATAAATAAAGGTGCCCACGCATAAAAACAAATGCAACAACAGCAATGACAGCGACAGCAAATATGCCGCCTGCTGTCACTGCACAGTTATGCACAAATATACGCACACACAGACAGCAGCAGCCGCACTTTAAAGTTAAAGTGTGTGTGAGTGAGAGAGAGCAAGCAAATAAATATTATCGCAGTCGGCGGTCGGTCGGGCGAATTCAAAGTTATTACGAAATCGCAATCGAACATAACGGTAGATAGCAAAAGCAGCAGTAATTCACACACACATACCCAATAAAAGAGAGGTAAGGCGAAATGAAATTAAAATATAAATGAAGCGAAAAAACTGACGAGCAAACAAAAAGCGAAACTTTTGATTGATAAAGTAACTAAATATATATATTTATATAGTTTAATAGAAATAAGAATTTCACTTAGTTTATAATCCATAAGCTGAACGAAGTTTTGCCTCCATTTACGATTACGATTCACTGCAAGCGCAGCAGAAGCAGCAGCTGCGGCTGCGGCTGCTCCAGCGAATGGGAGACAATGGCGTAAAGCACATAACAAGCGAATAAGCGTAACTGGCAAACCAGCCAGAACAAAAGTTGACTGCAGCAGCAGCAAAATAGAAAAGAAAAGCCAAAGAACCAAATGCCAGAGAAACAGAGTAGCAGGCAAAACTCTCACACACACACCACCACACGCATGCACAAGTTAGGTTTTTTTGCTGCTGCAGTAAATCGGCTACTCGCTCTCTTCCAGTGAGCGCATGGAACGTAAATTAATTTAATGTGCTCTCGTAAAATTCTTCAGTTTTTTTGTTAGCAAGTTACTTACCTTCTTGGTTGTTGCTGTTTAGCCAGCTTCGCTGAGTTTTCTGAATGATTTATTTTACAAACACACACTCACTATAAATACACTACACGAGATTTTTTCAATGCGGCAACGCATGCGCAACTTGCAAATTCCAATTGGAATTTGAACCCCACAGCACATGTAAAGCGCAAATTCAAACGCAAAAGCAAACACAAAACGCAGATTTGCTTCTTCTTTTCTTTTACTCGTACATACACAGGGCGAATTTGTCGCCCTCACACACACACAATTGCACGCACTGCATTCGCCGTCGGGGTTTTTTCTTCTTCCTGCATATAAGTGTGCGTGAGTGTGTTTGTATGTGTTTCGATACCTGCTAGTTGCTTGTTGTATACTTTAATTTTAGCACATTTAGCTGCTTTTTGTGCTCGCAATTTACACACAGACATTCAAATATATTATTTCATCTGTTTTACGCGTTTAGCGTTTGCGGCACTTTGATTTCCGTGCACATGCACTTTGTCGGACACTAACCCACACGCACATAAAATGACTCCAACACTCATACAATAGTGCACATGTATGGAAACAGCTTTGTATTTTACCGCTGTTTCACGGCAAACTATATTCAAGTAATAAAAATTAAACGCAACCAGTGGCTTGCATAAATTGATCAATCTGCGACGCACTATTACAAAAAACATTTAATACTTTTTCTTTTACTATGCACACGCGTCGGCGGCCATTTGTTTGAAATGAAACAAGACAGCGACGCGAAATATCGTCCGCGACGCGTCCAATCCGCTCGAAGTTGTTTTTGTTTATGCTACTAATTAGGGATGTTAATATCGCATATACGAATGTGCGTCAACTTAAACGATACTATCGATTGTAGTACGCGATACACAACAGATGATAGCTGCGAAAATAGCAACAACTTAAATATAAATAGACAACATGAACATATTGTAAAAGTTTAAAATTATTAATATTATTATTATAGCGAGAATAATTTATATAGTAATAAAGAGTTATGTTATAAAATGTTAAGCTCTAACATTTAAATTTTACCGACACTTTGCACAACGATAGTCACTGAACTATAATTGTGTGATCTGCCTAACGATAGTCGATAGTTTTGTGCAATCGTTACACTGAACTGTAACAAACAGAATAAAAACAAAGAATAAGCTTTGCGGATTTTTGATAATTGTTTATATAGTGTAATAGCACAATTGTTGCGATGTCACGTCGCAGCCAAGACATACCGATACGCCCACGCTACGGTTACAGCGAAGAGGCTGACGGCGAGGATGCCACCACCAGCCACAAGCAGCGAAATAATGCCTGCACACCTGCTTCCTACTCCGAGATACCTTTTCTGGCCCAATACGCAGGTGCTGTGCCTGATTATGTGCTTCAGGATCTAACACCTACAGCTGGCAAGGTGCCACCAGCAGGGAACGATAGCTACACGAACTTGGATTCAGGCGAGGATGAGAACGAGGAAGAGGAGGAGGACGAGGACGAGGATCCCAGCAATAGCAACTCGAAGGATTCGAAAGACAGCTCCAACGAGCTGAGCAAGCACAGCAGTCGTCCACAGGCGACTCAGTCCAGTGAGTGCATACCAGCTAGGATTGATTCATTTCCCAAATCCCCGTTCATCTCTTCGTCTCTTGCAGGCTTTCCCTATGAGCTCGAAGGCGCATTGGCTTCCAGCTCGGGGGCCATGCATCATTTTGTTGCCCACAATCTGGAGTCAAAGCTGCGCGCTGCCACGGAACATAGCAACAACTTAGACTCGGCACCCATCTCCAGATTTCTGCAATCGCGGAATGTGCCTGAAGTCGATGGCAACGTCCTCAGTGATATCGAGCTGGAGGCGCAATATCTAGCGTCATCTGTGGATAATCTAATCGAAAACTTGGGCAATCTATTGCACTCTATTAGCAGCATCACTGCCGACAATGTCGAGGTACACAAAAATGCAGTAAAGAAGCTTACAGATGCCCTGGATGCGAATATCAAGTGTCAATATCAGCTCTTAGCTAAGACGGAGGAAATAACCAAGTCGATGCGACCCACCGAGCAGCTCAGTGTGCGCATGTGAGTGCTGACCTACTGCCCAGATATCTGCCATATAATATATATATTTCTATATTCATATTTGCAGTCGCGAGATCAAGCGACTCGTAGATATGCTGGACAATTCAATGTAGGAGGAAGTCAGCGGCGGGATTGGAGGTGTGGAGCTCGCTGCTGCATTTGAGCAGGAATTGAATACGCCCTGTGCTTTTCTTTAAGCCTTAGCATTCCAATTTGTTACTATGCTAGTCATTTTATTATATTCAATTAGTTTAAATCAAAAACATTAGTATTAAAGACTATCAAATTTTAAAACGAGCGCCAATTTGAGAAATCGATAATAAATCGATAAGGACAGGATTTTTTATTGTCCATGCCAGACAATTAGCCGCAGTATTAAAGCAAAAATATGAAAAAAAACCAAAATTCAATTAAGTATAAATCAATGTTTTCCCCCTTATTTAGTGGAAACTCGTATGTTAAAACTAATCCTATTGATTAAAATTACAATTTCAAATCAGCTATTCAATGAAATATACCTAACAGTGTGACCAGCTGACTCTACAGGTCATTTAGATAGTATTCAGCATATTTTTGTATTTTTTCTTCAATTTTTAGCACGTTTCCGATTGATATTTTTCATATACTAATTCACAGCCACTCTGAGTCACCCAGTCTACTAAAACTCTCTGAGCAACGCGTACACTAAGTAGCTCGGTCTGCGGGCTCTCGTGGAAAAGTGTGGAATAAAAAATAAAAATAAAATAGAAATAAAGTTTTCATTGTGTTTCTCATGCGTGCGTGTGTGTGAAAAAGAGCGAGCGAGCAAGAGAAAACATGGCGAGTGTTTTAATAACGCAAATTCGATTGCACTTTCTATAATTCCCAAAAAAGTATATATTTCTGTTAGTAATGCGGCCCAAGTGTTTGCGCGCAGTGTGAATGCTTGTTTTTTTCTCACAATATTTCCTTCCTTTTCTTCGCGCCCATCAACAACAAAAAAATTAATGAAAAGTAAGCACAAATCCGCTTGTATATTAAATAAGTGTGAGTCCGTATGTGTGTGTGTGTGTGAGCTTGAGTGACTTTTTGCTGTGGCAGAGAGAAACTCAAAATGAATTGAAAACGATGAACTCAAAGTAGCGCACGTAGCGTACGTGTGCATATGTATGCATGTATATTAATGTGTGAGTGTGAGCGAGCGAGAGAGCGTGTTTTAACACGTTTTCAATTGCATTTTTATTGTTTTTTTTTTGCCACAAACTCTTGTTTGTATGTAGACAGCCATGTTTTATTGCTTTATTAATAACAATTTATATAGAGGGCTTCTAGCTAAAATTAATGAATTCCCATTTTATTTTATTTTATTTCTGCGATTGTATACTTTGCCATATTGCGCGTCAGGCAAAAACTGTTAACTTTCCATATGCTGGCGTATGCGGGCGCTCTCTTTCTTCCTTTCTATTTAAAACGCACCCTGTACTGGCTATTTGTTGTTCTTAATTGTAGACAAAAGTTCGCCGCAATATTCATTCACTTTTATAACGGCTCAATTTGTTGTTGCACAGATAGTGTATGCGTATGTGTGTGAGCGTCTTCCTTTCTGCCCAGCGCTGCGTCATCATAAACAACATGAAAGAAATGCCGCCAGCGTCGCCGGTGCGCGTGAGAGTGGAAAGAGAAAGAGTGATTCTGTGTGTGTGTATAAGAGAGCAGCAGCAGAGAACGCGTGTTAGCTATGTGTCATTCATGCGAAGGATACTGAAAAGCATTTGAAGTTGGCAGCGCTGCCTGCTGCACGGGCTGCGCACAATTAGCTGTAAAATATTTTAAGACAATTGAAATTAAATTGTTGCACAACTTAAGTTTACCTAAGAGAACATATACTATGCTCTCTTTCTCTCTCTCCCTCTCTTTACCTTCCACATTTGTCAATTAGTCGTTGAATTGAAATTCAAGGAATCGCAGACAGCTTCGACAGCTGTTCTAAAGCTGCTCAAGTGGATTTGCTATTATGGGTGGGGGAAACTCTAATTGGGATTTAAGCTTCGATTAGCTTCAACTGCTTTTAAAGGTGGCAAAGTCTGAGGCTGGAAATATCGCAATATAAAATAAAAAAAAAAAAATAGTATTAATAATATAGTACAGTTTTACCTAGCAGAAGCGAAAAGTATATTTCATTCAAATGTTTCGGGCTAATCTATAATTTTATCAAATTATTCATAAAAAAGTCACTAAAAAAACTTCAAAAATGGCTAAAAAGCTAACGCATATCATTATAAGAAATTAAATTTCTTTGACCGCGCATAGCCGGGTAACAGCAGGCTAGTTAGCAGCATAAAATCTAATTTGCCTGCTCTGCTTCCTTCCCTCCACTAAAAGAACTTTCCATATGCCTATATAGGTCTATATTTGTGCGTATGTGTCGTAGCCATATGCTCACCTGCTGCTTGGCGTGGGAGATGTCCCTTGCCTTTGCCCTGCCACAATTTCTCATGCCTTCGTCTTAAAAATGTAACTGTGCCATTTTCTGAGCTAAAAATATGTAATAAAAGCACACACACACACATGTACGTATTAGTTTTTGTGTGGAATTAAGTCTGCCCACGACACAAGTTTCGCGTTTTGCCGCCGGCCATCAGACCCTCGACCTAAGCTTCTGCATCTCTCTCCCTCTCTCTCTTTCTATCGTCCTCACCCTGTCGAGCTTTCTTGCTGATTGTGCAAAAGAAACTATTTCTGACGCGCTCGTAATCCACTCCGCGCCTTTTGCCAACTACGTAAATCCTTACGTGTCTGTTGAAATAAGCAAGCAAAGCAAAGCTAACCAGCCACCCACCCACCCACCTAGTACCAGCTCCACCACCACCCCGGCGATGCTAGGTGGTGTGCCCACGTCAGCAAAGCGACAATTTCGCGAGTCCCCCGGGCAGAGGCTCTCATCGCACGGTCTCGAAGAGAGTGGGAGCAAGAGAGTGTGGCTCTGCCGCAGCTGGCGCTTGCGCAGGCGCCCGAATATACAGCGAAAGGCAGCGACGCCTTTAGCAGCCTTCGGCCGCAGCTGCAGCACCGGCAGCGTGGCAGAGTCTCAGCAAACGGCGGCCGAACCAGACGTACAAAGCGGCAGCCCAAAAGAAAAAACATATTAAAGATAATTTAAATACATTTGAAAAAAAGCAAGGCTCGTCCTAGCATAAGGTGCTCTCATCAGTCTAAGCTGATAATAAACTGGAAAACGTTTTGCTGGTCTCTAACTGAATAATTCGCTCTAAAAGTGTTGACTGTGTGCATGTGTATGTGTGTATGTGGCTGTGTGTGGAAAAACTTCAACAAATAAGTGTCGCAATTTGCAACAAATTCAATTTTATTAATAAATACGTATACTTTTATTGTTGTTGTTTAGCGACTCGCCCAAGTTGCAAGTAAAAAAAAAAAAAACAAAAACAAAAACTCGTTTTGTGCGTTGGGCTGCTAACTGCGCTGTTTGAGCGCTGCCCGTCGCTCAGCCTTAAATTCGCTGCTCTGCTGCTGTTGCTTCTTCTTTCATTTTGTTGTTGACGTCTGCGCCGGTCGATGTGGCGCTGACGTCGGCGCTGCCTTTCTACATATATGTGTCTGTGTGTGTGTGTTTGTTTGTTATGTTTGTCGCTTCTGTAGCAACTCCTTGCGCTCTCTCTTACGAGCAGCGGCAGCAGCAGAGACGTCCACGCCAACATCGGCAGTAGCTTTGCAATTTTTTCTTGCTTTTATTACTGTATGTTTATACATATATATGTGTGTGTATGTATGAGAACCGGCTTTTTGTTTGCATTAATTTTTGTTTTCTCGTCGCACATATTCATTATTTTTTTATGTGCTTTTCCCCCCTCAATTGCCGATCTGTCCAACCCAACAAGTTGTTAATTTTGTTTTTAACACACGCATGTATACACATAGCCAAACACGTACAACTCCAAACGAAAGTCGACAATTGGATACAATTTAAGACCCAAGAACTTTTTTGCGTTTGCCTTGTTTTCCAATACAAAGTGCGTAAAAAAGAAAAAACAGTTCAATTGGCTTATGTGCGTGTATGTGTGTGTTTCTATCTCTGTCTAACGCTCGTTCCCTAGTGCGTAATCTACAAATTTCTTGTTGCTGTTATTGTCTTACGCTATTTTGTTGTTGCTGGCGCATGTTTTTATAGTTTTTGCGTAGTTTTATATTTCGGCTCGACGCACACAGACACTTACAAATACATAGACGAACAGGCAGTCACCCAAAACATTTCTCATATAGAGGCATCGCACAGTGGTTTACATAGTGTGAAAATAAAGACAAAAAATGACGTTGATAGAAAATTAAAAGTTTTTAGAAATCAATCTTGATTTTTGTATTTTACAAATATTATAAATTCTTAATTATTTTTATGCAATTGTATTTACTTACTATATACTTAGCGTTAGAGTACCACTGTCCACAGGCCCGACAAAAGCATAAAAACAAAAACCACAAATTGGCAGCGTCTGGCAACGTTTGTTTGATTGTTGTTGTTGTTTTGCACCAAAGATGCCAATGGAAATTTTCGAAAATGTAACGAAAATTGTTGCCTTCCATATTTCCAGTGTGAATTGCGCGGCAGCCTTATTTCCAATTAGAATGTAATGCCTATTTATATAATTTTATAACTAATAAAATTATATTGTATCTACTTGCAGATTCTCTTCTAACTCAATATTGTCTACAAAAATTATAAAAAAAAAATAAAATAAAATAAAATAAAATTTGTAAATATTTAATTCTACAATCTCGATTTTACACAAGGATCAATCTGAATATTGGTCAAGCAAAACGTAATTTTTTTGTACAGCAAATTAAATCGTAAGAAAGCGCAGGAAAACCGTTAAATCTTGAGTCAAACAACTAGACCAACCAAATCCAATTAGAGTCGAGTTGGAAAAGTCAACAAATGCAAGAAAAATAAGATAAAGAGCTTGCAAACGAGCTAAAATTAGGGGAGTTAGGGAATAATAGAAATAGAGATAGAGAGATAAAGAGAGTAAGGGAAAGAGAGAGCACCAGAGGATCGTTTTATCAATTCGCATGCGCCAATGAAAACGTCGCATCCTTCACACGCGTCCGATTTCGTCATCGACAACGCCGTCGTTGCCGCTCCCAGTTCCGCTACCGGTTCCGGCTCGGCAACAACAGAACCAGAGCAGATCTATAGGCCACGTCTCAGCACCTATGCAGCAGCAGCAGCACCAGCATCAGTAGCCCCTGCGCATGGGCTGGACGTTAAGCCAACCGTCGAACAGATCAGCATTGGCATCAGCTGCGATCTGAAGCCCATTGTCTATCTAGACGCGGAGACACGGCAGCCGCGACAGCGCAGCGTCATCATCAAGCAGCACTCACAGCATAATCAACATCATCAGCAACATCATCAACAGCAGCAGCAACATCATTATCAACAAGAACAGCAGCAGAAAGCGTTGTCCAAGTCAGCAGCAGCGGCCAACAGCAAGCGAAAGCGCGAAACAGGTGAGTTTTTATATATATTTGAGATAAGTTGGGAGAACTGGGAATATGCTCCGTATGTATATAGAAGTTTACTAAAAGTCTGAAAATCTGATCAGAAGCTCAGGTGACCAACTTAAGAGGGAACTAGAGAACTAGGAGGACAGTTCATATCTGAGAGACTTTAGTTTTTTGATGGACTTGTTTCTTCGCAAGTTCTCTTGGGTTCTATTGGGTACTACAAATGGATGCAGAAGTTGAATAGTGTACTCAAGGAAAAGTAGATTGTAGAAGTAAACGTATCAATTCGATAACTGAACTTTAGTTCTATTGAAAGAACAAATTCCATTCACAGCTCCAACTGGTTGAATAATGAATTTGCTGATGCATTCTTAGGCAATATTTCATCATCTAATGCCGAGAGAAATACATGAAATTATCTATGGGCAAAGGTCAGGGCGCACCGGATGCGAATAGAAAGACTGTTATCGATAAATATATATATATATATATATATATATATATATATATATATATATATATATATATATCATTTAAATAAGTATATAATTCAGTTAATATATATAGTCAAAGCGTGCTTAAATTAACTTTTGCCTCTGCCATTTAGAATTCCAAGAAATATCTCCCATTCCGTTTTGTTTATTTATGACTTTGGATAAAACAAATAATGCTCCAAAATTTGTTTTTTATCTGAAATTTATTTCATGTGCTGCCAACTTTGATTGCCATAGCTTAAATCATTCACTGTTATCGTTATCGTTATCGATATTTTGATCGGACAACAATTTATGAGTATATTTGATATATACGCATTCATTATGCGCTCTCTATAAACAGTTCTCTTCTTTTTGCCATTTGTCTCTTATCAATGGTATTCTCGCATTATATATCGCTATCTCCCTGTCTCCCTCCCTCTTAGTCTCTATTAATAATCAAACAATAAACGTGAAACCATGCGAAATTGTATTCATGTTTTATTGTTGTTGTCACTTGGTTTCAATTGGAATTTGTTGATGTTGTTGCTGTGGCTTTATCCCCCTTGGGCTTGTGTGTGAATACCCAGACGCTTATCATCGTTCTCTTTCTCTTTCTTTCTTTCTGATTTTTCCTTCTTCCCTCACTTTGTTCTCTATCTTCGTTCATGCCTCATTTGCCTCTCTTGTCATTTCGCACTGTTCCCATCTCAAACATATCTCTTATCGCTCGTCTCTTTTAACTCTGTTGATGTTTTTATTGCCTGCCCCTTTTATTATTATTATTATTTCTCGCTTGTCTACGCTTTGCTTGATTGTTTGTTTTCGTTGTTTTCGCTTTTATTTTATATACGTTATACATTCTTATTAGATATATACACTGATACATATAAAACACATACACTTAGAACAAAACTTATGTTTATAGAGTCTCCAGAACGTTTCTAAGATAGTTTATACATATATATATATATGACTTAAATCTTTTCTTTAAGTAGTCAAAACAATCGTCTTCTAATCTTGCTGCTCTGTCCTTAGTATTAATATTGTTATCGATAGGCATATGTGGTAAACACACTCTTAGCTATTGTTAGGTATTAGTTATCTATCGATAACGAACAATTGTAGCTCTTTTATTAGTAAAAATTTATTTGCCTTCACCAATATATATATATATATATATATATATATATATATATATATATATATATATATATATATATATATATATATATATATTCGATAGTTATATACATTGAATGCAAAAGTAAATCTTTTGCTATCGATAATTTTGAATTTAGACTTTTTTGAATGAGACTTTCGTTCAGCTTGTTAATATGCGACTGGTGAATTATGATTTTTTCAGACTCGTACATCTCATATTTTGATTAGTTCCAATTTTTTATAAGATAATGCAGAAATCTAAATAAAGATCCAGTTGAAGCGGGGAAGGAATGCAGATAATACTTAGTTTTTGCTTTTCCTTTTCCTTAGTGTCTCTGAGGCAATTACCCACCCCATAATCGTTTTTTTTCTCTCTCTCTCTCTCATTCCCTCCCTCTCCTTCTCTCTTAGTTTACATTTAAATTTTGTTTTCTTCAGCGTTTATTTATTATTTATTTCTTTATTTGTCTTTCGCTTACTGCGACTTATACATTTTTGTTTGTATAGCCCTCTCACTCGCGCATTTAACATTTTTTATTTGTTTATGGCGTTTTTTTGTTTTTCTTTTTGTTTTTATTTTTGCCTGTTTTGCTTTTGGCTAGACTTTTATCGTGATAATACGTTGAAATACTTTTCAGAGCTGTTTTCGCATTATAGTGTGTGTGTGTGTGTGTATATAAAAATAAACTGTTTTCTTGTTTTTGTTACTTGGATATGGTTTTGCCAAGCACTCGATAAGAAAGAAACCGCAATTGGTGCTGGTTCCTTCTGGAACAGTTCAAATGGATCCGATAAATACTCAAAATAACCGTTAAATATGCCAACAGATTGTTCAACTTCCAGCCTTTAAATTAAGAGAATGTTTCTAAAATGTTCGGTTTCAGCTCATTCTAGTTAAAGGTAAAGATTTCTTTAAGATATACATAAATATACATATACATATATATCTATAAATAAATAAATATATATATATATATATATCATAACTTAAATTCATATCGGTCTGATAGAAATGAGTGTATCTTTATCTATCTTTAAATTTGGTCCAATATTTTTCAATTCTTGTAAGACAATTCCTTGCCATATGACTGAAAAAACTGTTTTTATTTGTGAACCAAATGCAACTTAGTTTTAAATGGAGTTTCTTTCCACTCTTGGTAGCTCTCATGCCATCGAAGATCTCATGCTCCACTTCCAGTGAGGTCTTTTATCTCTGTAAAATCTGTTCTTTGTAACAGCAAGAATGACACACATAACCATCAATGGTCTCTCAACTTGTTTTATTTTCCACTTACTTTACAGTTTTCGCTCATTCTCTTCTTCCTGTGTGTACTTTCTCCCATAAATCGTGTTAGCAACAAATTGCAATTTTTGTGATCTGTGGGGACTCTGGCTTTGCCCTATTATTAAGCAGTGGGTGAAAGGAGTTAAACTAGCTGAATTCCAAGTGTGTGTACTAAACACAAGCTTGCTATTTAACTCGGTTTGCTCACACACACAAACAAAAGCATGCACAAGTAATGCCTGCAGCTCTGCTTGCAAAAAACGAGAATCTTCCAGTCTGCTGCTTCTGCTTCTCTCTCTCTCTCTCTCTCTTCTTCTAGGCTGCTTATGAAGTTCTCTCTTCTCTGCTCTTGTTCCTCTTTGCTTGTCTGCCTTGCACGCATAAGTTACATCAAAGGCATTCTAAGCTAGAGGCAGCACCCACCCCACCTGCAGGAGCAAGTGAGAGAAGGCGTGAGTTGTGTAGAGCGCGTCGGTCATATGCCAATCACAGTTGCTGCGTAGCTGCGTTTTCATTTTTGTTTTTAAATTTGCTTTAGTTTTTGCGTCTTTCTCAACCCGCTGCCAATGACAAAAAGTTATTTTTATTATTGCATGTGTGTGTATATGTGTTAGTGTGTGTCTATGCGAGAACCTGTAAACATACAACGCCATGTAAATTAAACATTCATGCAAGACGTCACGTAGCTTTTAGGCGAAATTCCATGATATCCAAATGTTAATTTTTTTGTGTAAACAAAGAGAGTAAAAGAGTTAACGACCGACCCCATTGTGCATATATATGGTTGACATTAGGCCTACGCGAGTTAATTGGTAACAAATGAAATGCAATTAAGTGAAATTCATCGCACCTGTATGTCAACTGCGTGATCGACTGGAAACCACTGGAAATGGAAATGGGAATCGGAATGCAAATGGTAGTAAAGGTGTGGCAATCGAACGTCATTTGCAATTGCTGTAAATTTTCTTAGTCATATTCGCCGCGAACCTTGTGGCCAAAAGCCAGACCTCGACAGTTAATGTGAGCTGCGCTTAGCTAAGGTTAAGGGAAGGCCACTTCAAGTGGGCGAGTGCGAATGTTAACTTAATGCGATATAAGCGATATACTTACACACATATATACATATGTATTATATCTCATTTAAGTCTATGCAAATGTTGCTAAACATGCTTGTCGTGCGTATCTCTGTGATACAGCTGCTGCCTGTCGCAATATACACACACACATTGCGTGTACATACATATATGTACAAAATTTCAATAAGCTCGCAAACATGGCGCGTGCGACAGAGACAGAACTTTGTCATGTCAAAAAGGAACAAAAAAAGAGGCAAGCGTATGGTTTTTATACTAGTGGGTATATGCGACTTGAGCTGCTTATAGAGTATCTGTAAAGCTTCTTCCACTTCTACTTCTTTAATTATATAGTAGCTTTAAAACTAACTTAGTCTGAAAATAAGCAGATTTTTGCGTTTTTAATGTGTTTTCGCGAATTCTTTTTTCATATTTAACTTGAAATTGAATTGAATGATGCCTCCAGTTGACCCCTCCGTCAGTTTCATTCAAATATTGTGGTCTAGAAGCATATGTAGATTACATAAGTATACTAGATAGATACCTAAATATATTACATATTATTAATATCTATTGGTTTTCTTCTTTTATTACAGGTAAGCAATTGCAATTTGGAAATACTTCAGCTAAAAATAGAGTAAAGTGAGTTTAGTTCGTTTTAATATATTGATTTCTATAGATGATATATGATGATCTGGGAAATAATTAATGATCGACTTGTACAGTTCATGGTTGATTACTTTCAAAAAGAAACCAAAACAACAATAACCGCCCCTCGTTCTCTCAGTGTATGAAAGATTGCTGGACCAGTTTTTTGTGTTTGAGAACTTGTTTTAAATTTTGTTCATTTTTTTTTTTTTTGGGTGCACACTTGCACAACAAACGCAATTTATGTGTGTACACACTTTGCTGTTGTTGCTTTTTATAATTTGACTTTTTGTTTTTTGGGCAACTTTTCAATGGAGCCGGCCTCCAAGTGCAGCTCCAACTTCAACTTTTCAATGCGAA